CATACCGGCCCTTGGCTGCAGGGGTTTTGCTGCACGTGTGGCCATCTGCAGGGGTTTTTAGGGTCTCCAGCTACTTTGAGGTCCTCTAAGGACTGTGCTTGGTCTGAGATCTCACAGCCTCTTGTCAGGTGAGAGCAGATCAAATGCAGACCCCTGACACCTCTTACACCCTTGGCAGCAGCTGTAAGACTGCTATTTACAGGGGAAGCTGGAATTTTCCTTCTGATATGATGACAAGGATCAGTTTTTCTCCCTAAGGTAGTTCTGTTCGCATTTGCTTACGCTGAGGAGTAAAATGTGGTGTCATGAGCTCAGTTTCAAATACTTTGAATGTCTTGCAACATAAGAAGATAAATTACTGACACATCCATCACTTACACTTAGATTACTTTCACCTGCTATGCTTTATCCACCTTTTCTTGAAAAAAAAATTGATTTTCAGGTATGCATAGGCTATGCTTTTTAAGTTTATGTATACTGCAGACGAGGGAAGAAGCGAGCTAGAAACAAAATCAGTTTAGGTCGACTGTTTATAAGGGTGGTATTTCCTATAAAAACCTTTCTTTTTCACCCTGCACATCACTGAGATTTAAAATCCTCATTGACTTCTAAAAGCACAGCTCAGAGAGGACAAAGGATGATATATTCTTAACGAGTGTGTGAAGTATAGTAGTTCTAAAGACAATAAATGCAAGGTCATATTAGGGCAAAACAGTTAATTACCCACTTCATTATTGTCAAGGTTAATACAGCATTTGAGTGCAGAAGCTGTTTTTCATCTCCTTTTGGAAACAAGGCAAGACAGCATTTCTTACAGACAGATCCATTATAGCTTATCACCGGAGGACAGACCGCTGCAGAAACGGCATGAAGGACGTCTACTGTCACCGGGCTCCAGAGCAAACGCCTTATGTGTCCAGAGAGCAATGGAAATGAGAGCTACAGCCTCAGAGTACTGTTCTTTAAAGCACAGAGATTGTGCCCTGTTGATTTTAATGTATGATGGAAACGGTAGCATAAAATTCCCTGCACTCCTTCATCTGTTCTAACATTGATCCCTCCTAAACTGCACAGCGCACTGAGAAACATCCTTTAATGAACATGAGGTATCGACTGTGGCAAATCCCATCTGTTTGTAGTGAACCCAGTGAAAGCTGCATCTTTGTGGAGCGGTAGGACCATGTTGTTCATGTGTGCTGGGGGTGTGGTGCAGGTTGCCATTACTTGGTCTCAGTAGTCAGAAACTAAAAGCTCATTAAGCTTAACCCATCAGCCTTTGTGAATAATACTTTGCTTTTAGCTGTTTCACCTGCAGCAACTATGAAAATCTCACATTTAAACATTTGGAGACCAGTCAGTCATTAAAAAATCAGTAAAAAAAATCTATATAAATAGATAGAGTATATCTATAAAAATAGAATTCCCTCCTTATACCAAAAGACATTATTCTTTTCATTTTATAAAGCCTTTAGAATCGCAAACCTTAGTCTAGTTCTATGAAAGAAACTACTAGAATAACTGTGTTTATGTCACTTTTGATGTAGCCTATTTCTGTTGCATTTTCTTTTAAGGTTTTTGTTTGCTTAAGTTGGAGCTACAGTTTCCCATCTGTAATTCATGCTGTTGTATTTCAGTCCCAGGAGGTTTTACTTCTGCTCACCAGTGCAGCACATAGCCTGGTGGTGCAGTAACCGAAGTCTGTATTCCCAAACCGAGACCCCAGCATCAACAATTCGTTCCTTCCACCTTTGAACCTCCTGGCCTTGGTGCTAACATCAGGTTTGGGAATGTGGGCCATGGTTATGGCAGTTCTCAATCTCTGGCTCCTTTCTGCCAGTACTGTGCTTCCCAGGAAAGCTGCGGGTGCTGGCAAGCCCCCAGCACACACTTTCTCTGTAGGAAATGACTTCAGGACAGGTTGACATGGTATAACGTGTTTCATCCTTCATAACATCATCTTTGATTTTATCATTTAATTTTTAATGCTCTGTGGACATCCTTACGAAGCAATTACTCTTGCTGTTACAGAATGATGCCCACTTTGGGATATTAATTTGGTTTTTAAGCCTAGTAAATTGTTCTGCCCACAAGGAAGGCACCCACTGTATTCCAGATTTGTGTATAAACTTCTTAGGTTCTATTCAGATAGAAAAATACCTGACAATATCACATATTTCATGGACTGTCAGTGGAACACTTCCTAAATTATCTGCTCTGTGGACACTAGTGATCTTTTAATAGGAATAACACTAGATGCTTCCTTGGGAAAAATCAAGCTTGTATAGGCTGTCCTCCCAGCCAGAGAGGCATCTCACCAGGTGTATGTCCTTTCATATAAGAGAAGTGCTTAAGGAGAAGCCAAAGTAAATACAAATACTGTTTTTATTGTTAATAATAAATTATTACCATAACTGATAGTATTGATAATTGTCAGTAATAAACCACTGACTATTCTGTAGGAAACATGACTCTGGAATAGGTAACTTTTATCCTCCCTTTGCACTGGCCCTTTTAGTTTACTCTTAGAGAGGAGCCTGAAGCAAATGGGAATGACAGTGTTGCAAGTCAGTGGTCATCCTGAAAGTGCTGGGAGAAAAGAGAAGGATTTTAGTTCTTAATCCCCTTAACTTCACCAGTGGGGATGAGGCAGCACTGAGGTCCCAGCACTAACCAAGGCTGCATCATCAGACTGGGACTTTAGTGGCAAATGCTTTTTCTGGAAAATCAGTGTTTCTTATAACAGCATTTTACTATTAATAGGTTTTTTAAACCATCCTAATCCCAAGCACGCACCTGACTGCAGAAAATCCTTAAAGTGCACGGCTTTGTCATCAGTGAATTCCCTGACCCATAAACCCTCAACTGCATTCTTCTAATACCTGAAAATCTTCCTTCTGGAGAGCATCTGCTTGAAGGAGCAGAGGGAAAACTCCTGTATCCAAAGAGGCTGCTCTGCTCTGGCTCTAAAGTCCTTTTGTGCAGGCACAACGGAGACTGCTGCATGAAACCTCTCCTTTGTGAAGGCCTGTCCCACAGAGAGTATTAAATTGGTGTTTTACTCCTTTGCATGCATTTGCTCAGGGGAAGCGGGGTGGCAGTTGGGTATTTCAATCTTGTTTTCAGTTATAAGCATTTCATTGTCAAACGTTGCTGGTTTATTATGTGATAATTAAATATGAATGATCGTGCAGTCATGCTGCCAAGGAGGCTGCAGCCAGATGAAACCAATTCCTCTTGTCTCGCTGAATGGCTTCAGAGGCGAAAGGAGTGATCTATTTGCTGTCCCTTATTTTTGCTGTCCAATTGTTTCAGTATCAGTAGCTTCAAAATAGCAAACTAGGCAAGCAATTAAGGACATAAATCAGAGCAGGGATCAGTGTGAGGTCAGGACTGCTTTGCTTATAGCGTGTTTTTTCTCAGCTGCTTTTTGCTAAATAACAGGGAAGTAAATTAGTGTTGATTTTGTGAAAAAGTGGTTTTCTTAGTGGTGAAATGCATATTTTGACAACATTTGAGCCTTTCAATCAGGAATTGAGCAGCGGAGGAGGGCAGAGCAACTCCTTTGTTGGTGTTACAATGTAGGGCCAGTGGCCAGGCTGGACTCCACAGGCAGCATCCAATATGCCATGGTTGGTGTGTGATAGGCCAGTCAGCATCTGATAGACCATGGTTGGCATCTAATATACCACAGCTGGCAAGCAACATAGGGAGGCTGCAGCTTACAGAGGCAACGTGGTCTAGTGTGAGGCATCCCTGCCCATGGCAGGGGGTTTGACCTAGATGATCTTAAGGTCCTTTCCGACTCAAACCAGTCTGTGATTCAATGACATCTCCTTGGGCTGACCACAGTGACTTTGTTTAAAAACTCATCAAGTAAGGTACAGCTGTAGATATTTAGCTGAAGTGACTCAGTAGAGTAAATTTGTTTTCAGTAGGGCTGCGCTGATTGATGACTCTGGCCCTTAATCTGTACATCTTATTCTTCAGAGGTGTTTATAAATGTGAAGCAGTGCTCAGTGGGAGTCAACTGCTGAAAACTGGATGCAACCACGTGTTACAGCCTTCTGATGGTACTAGCTAAAAACAGTCAGTCTTTCTTGAAGGAGAGGTGTAACCAAGCACTGCTCGCCTTCCATCCTACCCGGAGCACCAGTGTTTTGAACAGAAAGGAGTCGGGGTGGGCAGGGGGTTGTGGGCAATCAATGGAAACAACTTCCTATCTGCAGTGCTTGTCATCCATGGCTGGAGGATCTATAGAAGACTTTGCAATATTGGGATGCAAACAAGGACACCAGCACTGCCACCACATGGCATCTGTAATGTGGATGTCCCAAAGCCATGGTTATGCAGAAAGGTTTGCTGGAAGCTGTATATTGTAAGAAGGAGGTGTAGTTAGGTATTTTCCCATCTTTCCCAAGTGTCTTACGCCAAGTTACCTAAGAAGCAATCCCCAGTGGTAATTCTGCTACATGAACATATTCTTTTGTGGAAATCAACCAAACTCAGTGCCTACTCTCCTGCATGCTGCTTTTCAATCCAACAGTTTGTAAAGATAACATATAGAAGTGACCACTGAATGATTTTCTTTCAGCTTGTCCATACCCTGACAGATTCAGCCCACCAGTCTGGCTTGATGTAGACAACTGAATGATAACAAATATAAAGAAATAGTGTTTTTAAACATCTCTGCTGTTGGCTGCTGAACACCCACCTCTTAAACTGGGCTTTTTTTAGAGTGTCTTGGGGTTGCATGCCAAATCTCAGCTTATGATGTACACCGAATTTAAACCCTCTCTGTTTATTCCTTTCTACGTGTCCTGTTCTAAGTATTTACCGAGATACTCTTTTTTGGCAATGGATTTTCTAAGGTATGGGACTGAAGAGCATAACACATCCCTATGGGTATTTTGGGGGGAATCTCAGACTTTCTTTTTGCTGGTTTTCTTGGTCAGATATGAATGGAAAATCAGTATTTAATCAAAGCAATTTTTTATTCCCAGACTATTGTTCGAGGGAATAAGCCTCGAAAGGATACTTCAATCAACGGCCTGCTGGAAGAGTTTGACAATATCTCAGTAACACGATCCAATTCCCTGCGGAAGGAAAGCCCTCCCACCCACCACCAAGGAAACGCAAACCATGTGCCAAGGCACCAGGAGGAGAATGGTTATATCACGTATTCCCAGTACTCCAGTGAGTCAGACACTACAACAGACTATGTCGTGGAAAGGTATCGAGACAAGACTGTTTACGGGGAAGAGCTAGACAGGTACTACAAAGGGAGCTATGCTGCCAAGCAGAACGGGCACATGATGAAGGTGACGTCCCGGGATGTCTATTACTCAGAAATGACACCCCTGCAGTCAGACCTCTCTAGGTTCCTTCCAGATTACCATGCACACCTGGAGACAAAGCCCAAACCACTGGAATATGGCGGCCTAAAGCTGGAGTATCAGAGGATCCCCAGTGGATCCTCCCTGGACTATAGAGATCCCTTTCCTTACACCCCATCCCGAGCGTCAGTGCAGAGCGAGTGCCCCAAGGAGAGGCTGGAGTACAGCGACAGCGACTGGGGACATGGCCTGGGCAAGGATGACTACGACAAGAGACCAAAGTCATCCTATGTGGATCCAGCGAGCCCTCAGCCAACGATGAGGCAGAGGTCCAGATCGGGCTCTGGTCTGCAGGAGCCAGCCATGCCCTATGGAGCAAGCGCCTTTAAAGCACACCAGCAAGGACATTCCTACAGCTCCTACACCTACCCCCGCTTGTCGGAAACCGCAGCAGGCATTCCCAAGGTAACATGACATCCCCAGCTGCCGGGGGTTATACTTGGGATTCCCAATAATCCCAACTTCTTTGGCAGTTTTTATAGCATTAGGAGTTCAGACGCCTGTGCAGATCTCATTGGGAGCTGAGAAGCTGGTCTGGTTTGTATATCAGATACTTTTGTGTTTCAGTTGTGACTGTGCAAGGCCAAAACCTCTGTGTTTTAATACTTACATTGTCTTTATGCTATATTTATATTGCAAGGTTTAGTAACCCTTTGCTGCTAATAACAGTAGGGGTTTACCCCTCTCTGCTTTGTTTTTCAGCAGTGAAATTAAATCGAAAGAGCTTTAGGAGTGAAATTAAATCAAGGGAGACATTTTAGATGTAGTTTAAAAAAACGGGCTAAGGTGCATAATAACGTTTCAACCATGATATGTACAAGCAGCTCCTCTGCCCAAATCTGTGGCCTGCTTTGCCTTTTCTAAGTCACATATTACCCACACAAGCTGCCCTGCCCTACTTGCAACAGTTTGCTGTAACTGTTGGTTCAGTGAATAACGCTTTTCTTACACATCTAGTCACATAGCTACAATGATGACCTGTTTAAACATCTAATACTCTGCGAGAGATGTTTTTCTTCAGTGTAGATTGCATTGAACATCACTGAGTTCCCCTAGCAACGGGCACCAAGATCATAGCTCATTTTTGCAGGGCTGAAACAGTGTTGGGTTGCTGTGACTTACAAAGGGGCTAAAGTAGGTAGCTTGTTAGGTATGAGATCCACTGTGCTGTTTGATGATGATGTGAGTGGTACATTTTCTTACTGACTCTGTGCACTTAGAATGTGGTCCTGTCCAGCTGCAGACCCAGAAGAAGTCCCAGGTCTCTGCAAATCCACTATAGCCATATGCCTTGCTCAGGCTTTGGCTGCTTTAGTGATCCTGGGGTGCAGTTATCATTGGTGCCCCTTGGTAAAGCGAGAGCAATGCATTTTTATTGCACATTGCATTAAGCACAGAGCTAGGCTTTGGATGTCGAGGGTAAATCATGGGGGGAGTGGGAAAGCTACCAGGTATCTTTGTGCCTTTCCTGAGCTCAGGGAGTGGTGGGAAAGATGCATGTGCATAGTAAAGTGTGTGCCAAAGTGTGGCATTAAATATGGATTCTGGAAGTTGTGCAAAAAGCCTGGGATGCACTGCCATTTCCTTCATTGAGAGCAATCATTTTGTCAGAGTTTAGAAAAGAGGACAAATGCAGTAATTCATGGGCTCTCTTGTGCCTGCTCCTGCCAGCTTCACAGCATTCAGCAGGGCTGAAGACAGAGGTGTATTTTACAGGACTCAAAGCACTCCAGACACTTAGAAAAATATCCCATTAAAAGGCACTAACAACTTCCATAAAAAAACAAGAAGATGCCTCCGTGCAAGATTCACTGTGAGCTGTTCCTCTCCTGAGAGCATCAAAAACACTCCCACAGCCTTGGTGTACTGAAACTTGATGATTCACTGTTAAATGCAGCAGTTTCAATTCCCAAACCCATCCACAGCTCCTGGAAGCGAATAGCAGTTTCTTGTCTTGGATGATTGCTGAAGGATTTTCTTTACAAGGAGACATTAGTAAGATAATGGTTCACCAAATGGGCTTACTAAATGAGAATCAGGTCTCAGATCAGATATTTTACAGGTGAGATTGGCTCTAAAGTATAATTAAAAGAGGGGAAAAAGTAAGCAGTGAAAAAGTCTGCAGGCACAAATGTGTGACTTCAGAATGCGTGTAATGTTCGGTTTGGCTGGTAGCTGTGAAGAGCAGACTTCAGTGGCATTAGCAGGTGAGAAATGTCAGATAAATCAGATGTATGCTCTGTTTCATCATCAGCGATTTTAGAGGCTTAACATCAGAAGACTTCCATTGTGCTGGGCTTGGCCACTGCTGTGCAGTGGGACCATGGAGGGGCAGGAAGCTGGAGCCTCAGATTTGGTTCCCTCCAGTCCCACCCTATGTTACCCACCTACTCTCCTATTCCTGCAGGCTAACTTCAGTAATGCTTGCACGGGGTCACAGCATCTGCTGTGTTACCCTCATGATAGAGAGAGAACTCAACATCATCACGCCATTTCAAACTCATCCCACCAGACCTGCTTATTTTTGGACGCTTTGTACCTCATGTTTCTTGTTACCTTCCTCTTCATCACAGGCAGCCCTCTTGACTTTTTGCACTGGCTCCTATTAATTCAAAGCTCCTTTGCCTGTCATTTTTCAGTAACAGCATTCCGTGACACTGTCCTATCCCTCCTCCAAGCAGATGTGATTTCTGCTCTCTCTTTCACTGCCTTGTGCTGCTGTAACATAGCTGGCACTGTGTGTTCTGCAGACACTTTGAGCCAGGAGGGCAGTTCCAGCCTGGTGAAGGCAGAGCCAAGCCCTTACTATCAGAAACCCTCTCCTGTTTTCCCTGTTTTCTCATTCACATGTCAATAGATTTCCGTGAATGCTTGGAACAGGGAGTCTTGGAGATTTTCACAAGTGAAACAGAGAGTAGCCATTCTGTTTGCAACCTCCATGTGATTTACAAACCATCCCTCCAACATATTTTAATTGGGCAAAGTGAAACCTCATCAAACAGAAATCTATTTTATGTTTACTGAAGGGTGAGCCCATGTCACCAAGGGGCTTGCACTCCCCTCGGGGGGTATTAGCTGTGCCTGCAGGGCTGTGGCTGCGGTTTCTGCCGCAGTCCCACTGCAGAGTCCATGGGGACACACGCGTGGATGAAAGGCTGCTTGAGGAGAAGGTACCCCTTGAGAACAAGCAGTTGTGTTTCTTCCACATGCAGAACAAAGCAGGCATCGCTGTCATCGCAGTGGAAACCAAAATGAGTTTAAACATGGTGTTACATCCACCTTTTAACAACAAAAAGACCCAGCTGCCGACGCAGCAAGCCAGCAGCAGCAGGGTATTGCCTTGCACCCGCGGCACTGTGATGGATGTCGTGTCAGAGCTTCAGCTGCTCCTTTGACCTGATCTTGAATGAGCACAGGGCTGGTTTCTTCTTTCCTTTGTAGTATTTAAAGAATTCCCTTTCAATAGGTAACTGCATTCGGTAGCAGAAATAGAATTAACAGTGGGATAAAGCATGTTTGATTTTGCCGTGATGTGAAGCACTGCGCCAGGACACAGCCTCAGAGGAGAGGTTCAGATGGTTTACTCATTACAGCTCCTGGTTTGTTTGTAGGACTTCAGGGGGTTGTGAATGGGCTTACATTGCACAGCAATGCCAACCCCAACAATTCTTAGCCAGCACACCAAACCCCTGAATTTTCACTTTAAAATTTCACTGCAGAATCCACTTTTGCCAATGCATTAGGCTCAGAAATATAAAACATGGATAAAAACTCAAATAATTCATTAGTGTGGATTAATCCAGCTTGAATTTCTGGACAGGGCTTTCCCCATCTCAGTAGTTAAAAGAAAATGGTGTGTTTACAGCCAGAGCAATAATTTATGTATCCCTATATGCACAGATATATAGGACAGGGCTAGACTGAGTTCCCCTCCCTCCACCGAACCATCTGAGCACTTTTCCATGTTAATTAGCTTGGCAGATGTAATGTCCTTCATGAAATCCATGATGTCTCTGACCCTCTTCTATTTTATGGCTACCCCTGCCTGACTAGTGGAATTATGGCTGTAATCATGGATTTTTGCTTAAATAAAGCCAGCATCCTAGGAAGTGGCTGTACAACACTGGTACGTGCTCGCTGGATGCTCCATATAGCTGGTAGCTGTCAGTGTGCGAGTCTCAGACGGAAGCAGACTCCAGCTTCCTGTCTCCAAGGGAAATCTCTGAGCAGCCCCTCTGGAGAGGCATTCCCTTTTCCCTGCTAAACCTCACGTGGAATGAAGAGACAGGCATGCCTGGCTCATGCGTGAGGTAGGAATAATACTGCGCTCGGAGGCAACTCCAGCTCGAAACTCCTCCTCGCTGTGCAGCAGCCTACAGTGATAAATTGATGCTGCGGCAGATTTTTGTTCTCTTTTTTTTTCTGCAGTCTTAGCACAAAATGGTCAAACGATGTTCCACCGCAGAATTCAATTTCACAGTTCACTTGGGTCCTTGATTACACTGCCAAATTCAGATTAATGTGCATTTAACTAACATGGATCAGGGACTCCTGGCCGGCGCCCAGCAGCAATAGTAGCGACCGTGAGCTGAGTAGAGTTTGCTGCTCTGTCCACCCCTGTGCTCCACCACCAAAATTGATTGATTAAATGAACTCATTGCCATAATTATTTGTAATTGTGCTACATCATGAGCCTGTGTCAAACCACCCCCTGCCCTGAGGTGCTCCACTCCGCGGCAGGAGTCACATGTGTTGTATTATAAATGGGGGGATGCTTTTTTGCAGGGGGAAAAGGAATGTGTTTTGGTTTTGGATGCGGATTTTGGTCTTACATCCTGTTTTATTCTCTTGTTTTTTAATTTGGAGAGAAGCAAACTTACATCTGTGAATGTGAAGTATTCATTTTCTTTCGGTCTAAGAGGCTTAGAAAAGCTTGGAAAATAAAAAGGAAGAAAGGAACCTACAAATTAAAAAGGCCTCCCATTGGGATAATTTCCTCTGCAATTGTCTCTGATTTCGGCTGAAAATTAGTGGTTTTGTGACACTGCAGTTAAGTAGCGTGTCACTGTGGAAAGTGATTTAAGGAATGGTAAATTGAATTAGGCTCCTCGTCATACTCATGTATGCAGTCACTCAGGCAGCAGCCGGTAGCAGGGCAAGGCAGGAGATGATGGGCTTTCAGGGTAGAAAGAAGAGGCTGGGTCATCCCTGAATTGCTGGAGGAAAGCATAAGGAAAGGAGCAGGGCTGAGACTCAAAATGCAGGAATTGGTATTTGAAAGGAAGGACACAAATTGATCTCCCTGTCCCCTTAATGCTTGCTTCTGTTGGGTGCTGTTTGGCGACTGCAAGGAAGGTACATGTTCATGCAAGACTGCCCCTTGTCATACAGCTTCTGGGGGTAACAAAAGGGTAGATTTAGGTTAGATATAAGGCAGAAGTTCTTCCCTTTGAGGGTGCTGAGGCGCTGGCACAGGGTGCCCAGAGAAGCTGTGGCTTCCCCATCCCTGGCAGTGTTCAAGGCCAGGCTGGATGGGGCTTGGAGCAACCTGCTCTAGTGGAAGGTGTCCCTGCCCATGGCAGGGGTTGGAACTGGGTGATCTTAAGGTTCCTTCCAACCCAAACCATTCTAGGATTCTGTGAGACTGGAATTTGCCAGAAGGCTGCTGGTTGTGAAAGGGTTGAATCCTTGGATGAAATGGCCCGGGGAGCTTGCAGGGCACTGCAGATATGGAGCAAATACACTTTTTGAAGCTTACTCTTTAATTAAACAAAGATTATTGTATCTACAAACAGCTACCTGGGCAGAAGAATGGAACTGAGATGCACCGAAGATCTTGAAGTTTTTCCTGGCCTCATTTTAGTTCTGATGGAAACACAGCAGCCCAATTGTCTAAAAGTTTCTTTTCAGATACAGGGCAGCAGTGTCATGCTGAGAACAGGTACATGTGCCAACATCACTGAGGACCTCTGGAAATGCCGAAAGTGAGCTGAGATGGACAACAAGCAGATGTGTGTTTCACCCGTGTTCACTTGTCTGCTTTTGCATTGCAGGTGGATTATGATCGAGCTCAGCTTGTCGTTAGCCCAACGCTCTCCGGATCAGACACCTACCCCAGGGGCCCAGTGAAGCTACCTCAAAGTCAGAGCAAAGTCAGCTATTCAAGCAGCAGCTACCAGTACCCTCTGGTCTACCACAAAGCATCCCACTATCACCAGCCACCTCTCCAGCCCAGCTCTCCCTATATTTCCACCGCCTCCTACCCCAGCTCCCCAAGTATCACGTCAAGTGCTTATCCTCCACCCAGCTGGGGATCCTCCTCAGACCAGCAGCCCTCCAGGGTGTCCCACGAACAGTTCAGAGCTGCCCTGCAGCTCGTGGTCAGCCCCGGCGACCCCAGAGAGTACCTGGACAACTTCATCAAGATCGGGGAGGGCTCCACGGGCATCGTCTGCATCGCCACCGAGAAGCACACGGGGAAGCAGGTCGCTGTGAAGAAGATGGATCTCAGGAAGCAGCAGAGGAGGGAGCTGCTCTTCAATGAGGTGCGTTGTTCTGGGTGCTGGGGTGGCTTTTGTAGGTTCAACAGGAGATGTGGTTCAAATGGCAACCTCAGGAGCAGCATTAGTACCTTTCTAACAGAGGTGGTGAGCCTCACGTCTGTGCTGTGTAAATGCTGTAGAACCAGACCAGTTTTAAATGAGCTGCATCTCCTCCTGGCTTTAAACCATAATGCAGTGGGAGGTCACAGGAAACAGCTAAGAAATCTGTCAGCTGCTCCACACAGCTTCTCAGGTCCTGCCCTTTCCTCACCTTTTGCTGATAGAGTCTTCCAAGATGGAAGATCCAAACTAACCAGGCTATTCGAGAAGCCTGTGCACTGCATTCTGGCATATACATGCTTTCTGTTTCCTTCCTCTCCTAACCATTAGCAGTCCCTTTGCTTTCTTGATGGTTCCTAAGCAAAGAGCTGACAGCCCCTTTTTCATGGAATCATCAGTGTTAATTCCCACATCTTCCCTGGGTGGCTGCAGCCACTTCAGTGCCCCCAGCTGCTTATGGAAGATTGTTTTCCCCATGTATGTAATTTTAAACTTAAAACACTGGTTTTCAGTGGCCATTTTTTCATCCAGTTTTTTGGTGCTGAGAGGTCCTTCTGCAACTCAAGGAACTTCTCTTTTTTTTTTACTGCTTACTCCATTAAGGAAGCTAATGGTGTGTGTTCTCTGCTCCCTTTTTGAGAGCACTTGTGAATATGCTGATCAACACCAAAACCACTGCAGGGCCTCAGGGAAACCTCTTGTGAGAACTGACCTTTTGGTTCTATCATTTGTTTCCTGTATTTCAGCTATAAGAGGATCTTCCTTCCCTCAGCACAGGACAGAGTTTTCTTTAAAACCCTTAAAAACTTAGCAATTTCTAATAAAAATACTGGGTTTTAACAAACTTCAGGCAGTTCTGCACACAGTCCGTGACTGTTCTGGGTATTTTGGCTTGGCTTTGCCTCTGCTGGAAGACTGCTCTGGATTGCCCTGAGGTAGCTCTAACCAAGCATCTCTTGAATGGTAACATCTTGAAGCAGGTCCTACATGCTGTGCAGGACCAGGCTGTTTCCCTGACACGCTCCAGTCACTCGTGTCATCTGAAATCCCTCTGCCTGTAATGGAGCCTTCCCTGGCTGGTGTTTTCTCTGCTGATCACGTTTCTGACGCCCCTCAGTACAACATGGTCATGGTCACCACCTTGGCTGGGCTGCCATTACTAATTTTGTACAGTCCCTTTTAGATGTGGGATTGGAGCATCTTATGGATGTATTACCAGCATTGTGTTAATATTCTGTGCCATGTACGGTTTGATTCATGATGGGGTGAACAATTAATCAGGTAAAATGTATCTGTTGTACTGAAAGCAGCTGGCAATAAAAAACAATGAAATAAACAGTCCTGCCCCTGCAGTCTGAAAAAAGCAACCCAGTTATCTACTGCTCACACTGCAGCAGCTAAAGATTCTTCCTCTTCCTAATGCATTTACAATGGCTGTTTGTTAGTTTTATGTAAATATATTGATTTTGTTTATGCGTTGGAACAAGGATTAGGAAGGATGTGATTCATAGCAGCACCTTTACTAAGCACAAAGAGGAAAGCACAGTGAAAAAGAAGGTCAGAACAAGTGTCAGATCATGCTTGTAGCGACTCACATAGCTTGTCTTTCTTCCTCACAGGTTGTAATCATGAGAGATTACCATCATGAGAACGTGGTTGACATGTACAACAGTTACCTTGTTGGCGATGAGCTGTGGGTTGTCATGGAGTTTCTGGAGGGCGGCGCTTTGACAGACATAGTGACTCACACGAGGTGGGTTGGGTAGGGTAAAACCCACAGCAGGAGCCAGGCAGGAGAGAGATCCTGTGGTTTCCTTCATGGATGCCTCCAGACTGTTCTCTCCAGGCTCACCTCCTGGTGAGGGAAGCTGGGTACCTCCTGGCTCTATATATGTGGTTTCATGCATGTATCTATTATTTTTGTATATACATACACAATGCATATATACAAACATAAAAGTATATACAATACACATGCTTGAAAAATACATGTACATAAATACACATATATAATATCTGTATAGCTGTATGTGCATGTATGTGTATTTAGAATCATAGAATGGTTTGAGTTGGAAAGGACCTTAAGATCATCTAGTTCCAACACCCCTCCTTCCACTAGAGCAGGTTAGTTCAAGCCCTGTCCAGCCTGGCCTTGCATGCTGCCAGGGATGGGGCGGCCGCAGCTTCTCTGGGCACCCTGTGCCAGCACCTCAGCACCCTCACAGGGAAGAACTTCTGCCTTATATCCAATCTAAACTTCCCCTGTTTAAGTCTGAACCTATCACCCCTTGTCCTGTCACTACAGTCCCTGATGAAGAGTCTCTCTTCAGCATCCTTGTAGGCCCCCTTCAGATACTGGAAGGATGCTATGAGGTCTTCACACAGCCACTGCCTTCTTAGAGCAGCCTTCTTCTTACATATATATTATACACATCCTGTGTTATGCTCACTTTACCAGCATAAATCAGCCAGTGCAGATGAATTCCTGTCAGTACCAGCCTTGATTAAATAGAAAGGAAAGAAATGTCTGACAGGGCTTGCTGTTAGATGGGGATTTGCTTGCTCTTCAGGAGGTAATTTAGCAGCAACACAACTTACATCCATTATTACTTCCTAAAATGGCAAAAAAAAAATCTTCCTGACCCTGTTTGGAGATCTGTATTGCTGGTTTTGCTGTCACAGCTATGTCGGTTCTAAGGGTGATGTCTCACCATACCATGTAACCACACTGTCAGAAACATTAACAGCAAACCAAGCCTAAAATATAATGGGAAAAGTATTTTTCTGTCTGAACATTTGTGCTTATGGTAGAGCTCATTCCCATATTTCAGTTAATAGCATACCTTTAAAGAAGGTGATTTGCCAGCACAAAAGCTGTACTGTCTGAAACCATCCTTCCTCTTCTGAGTGGAGACATTAGATTCTACAGCCCACTTTGCATCTGCTCTTCACTCATCTTTTCCTGCTATGTAGGATAAAATGAGATGGGAAAGAGGGATTCTTTGTTTCATTTCTTCCTCTTGAATAAAAAAAAGATTTCCATACCAAACCAGTGGGAGAGTACTGTGGGGAGAGAGGAGAAAAGCAGGGAATAGTACATTAGAAAACCTGCCTTCTCTCGTAGCTTAATGATACCTTTAGATCCTAGCAAAAGTGGAGCTGTAACATGGAGGTTTATTTTTTAGCCTTGCCTTAGCTGATGTGCTGAAACAAATCACAATATTGCAAGTCATTTGTTAACTCCTGCTCCCTGAAACATTCAGAGGTCTATCTTAGATACTTGTGACAGGAGTTTAACTGCAAACAGATGTTCCCAGGACACCACTTCCTGAGAGCTGTCATCTCTTTTTTAACTCAGATACACTCTTTCCTTAATCTTCTGGGCTTTTTTTTACATTGCATGACCTTCCCACAAAGATTTTGCTGAAATACTGCAAATGGCACACAGTGCTCTTCTCCATGGGTGTTTTTCTGCTGGAGACATCCAGCTGTGCCAAGGGCAGGTTTAGATGGAGATGAGGAACAATTTCTTCCCCAGAGGGTGCTCAGGCATTGGAACAGGCTGCCCAGGGCAGGGCTGCAGTCACCATCCCTGCGTTCACACACCGTGTAGACGAGGCCCTCAGTGCCATGGGTTAGTGGTGGCCTTGGCAGTGCTGGGGAACGGTTGGACTTGATAATCTTAAAGCTCTTTTCTAACCTCATTGATTCTATGATTCTGTGATCCAGAGATGGGGCAGTGGTACTGGAGTGCACAACCCATCCCAGCCATCAACATCATGCTGCAGCACACAGCTTCTTCCAGGATGGGGTTTTGCACCCATGCACAGAAATGAGGACTCTTGCTGTTTATTCTTCTGCTGAAATACCCGGAATGCTTTTATAGAAGGCATAAAAGCAAAGAAGTGCTCTCAAAGAGCTACACCCAGGCCTGGTGTTTTGCCTGCACAATTAAGAGTGTTTTTTCTCATATTTACTCCATGCCTGTTCCCGTCCTAGCAGTGATTTGCCCTCCTTGGCAAGCAGTGAGTTTACTGTAAATAAGGCATTTTGATTATTTCCCAGAGGAAGCAGGCTCACTGTAACAGGCTGCATCATGCAGTATTCTGTGCTTTTCTAATGCTGCAGGGAGACTTACCCACACCTTGCTGCAGAGCTGTTCCTCACCTCCCATCTCCCCTTTCTGGACAGAAACAGGACCAAAGGATCACCCCGCAGAGCCATTGATCTCCTGGCTGGCTGTGAAGGGACCATTATGCCTGTTCCTGCCAGCTCCACCTTCCCACTGTCTTCCTTAACACTCAGCTCATTTTTCCACCTTGCCATTCCAGGATGAACGAGGAGCAGATAGCCACGGTCTGCCTGTCTGTCCTGAGAGCCCTGTCCTACCTGCACAACCAAGGCGTCATCCACCGCGACATCAAAAGCGACTCCATCCTCCTCACAAGCGATGGAAGGGTGAGTGCTCAAAGTTTCCCCTGCCATCTCTTGGGGCTGGCATGAAAAAGCTGTGCACGTGTGTGAAACCAAGGGATACGACCTGTGAGTGACTTGTTAGAGAGCTGAACCAGCCTTCTGGTGATGGACATCCACGCTAGTGCCTGTGGGGGATCAGAGCCATCAAAAGGCAGTGACAGAAGAAACTGCCACATGGGTGATGGTTGGGTGACAGGAGATCTTTTATGCTGCACCACTTCTCCTCTGATCCCTTTCTAAAGTGTTTTCTGTTTACTACATTTAGTTATCCTTTAGTTAGCAAGCTTCTGTATATTTGCTCTGCTTTCCCAAGCTAGTTAGGAGGCTAACATCAATCTATATGAATAGAAAATAAGCTGCATTACTGCTGAAACACTCCCCTGATGGTGAGATTAGCTTTTACCATATACCATACTTACAAGATGCTTGGTAATACCTGTGCCATGCTTCCATTTCCTTGGATGGGATGCTGCTGTCAGTGAATTGGTTTTTCTTTGTGGTATTGAGTGGGCAGCGAGGGAGAGAAAAAGCTGCCTGTGACCTACTCAATAAGCAATATAAAGTTTGCACACAAAAAAGATTCACTGCTTCAGCAGTGTTTGGTCCCAAGGAAATTACTATTTCCTTACAAAGAGAAAAGTGGGTTTGAGCAGTGGTGTTGCTGGGTGCACACAAGCATAAAACCTGAGGCACCTAAAACTTGGGGCACCGAAAGGCTCAGGTGGAGGAAGGCAAATCACTCTTAAATAGAAGACCCTAATTTCTCCTGGAGTCAGGCACCACTTTGCATCTCACCTTGTGGCCCCACTGGGATAATTGCAGTACAAACAAGTGCACTCGTGACCAGTGAGTCCCATAAGATGGGCTGTCAGGATTGCTCTACTGGCCTTACACACCTGTGTGAAGCAAGGCTTGGTGGGTTCAGCTGAGCCCAAGAGCTCACAGTGAGCCTGGAACCAGAGCTGGACCTTCTCCTTCAGCAGGTAAAGCTCTTGGCTTCCAGGCCTGGTCAGATTCCCTATCAAAGCCTTGTCTATGTAACTCAATTCCCACTTCACCAAGGGAGAGGGATTTTCTTCCTGCTAATCCTTTTGGGGGAAGAAAACTCCACATGTGTAGGAGTTGTTCAGTTGCGGTTTCAATCCATGTTGCTGAATTAGCATCTGATCTGCTCTCGGGATCTGCATACAGTGCCTCATTACCCTCATTACTCCAGTCCTGATTATCTGCATTGCAGATTTCTTCATGGCTGTGTGGTGCAATTACCTTTTCTTAGAAAATCCTCTTCTTTTGTGTACTCGAATGAGCAATAGATATGCAAACCCTCTTGTGCTCCTACAAAAGCAGATTAGGCTCTGCTTCCAAAATATGCATCATTTTTGCCATTCTTCATCCTGTAAACTGAAAAATATGTTTAGCATGGAGAGCTTGGCTATTATTGGCTTTGTTTTAGAAATACCAACAATCATTTTAACACAGTTCTGCTCAAAATAATACCCATTGCTTTATGAAAAGCAGCGTCTGCACTGAATCTAAAAGAAAACAAATCAGTGCTGATAATGAAATGCTGGTCCACACAACACAGGGATTTATGCAGCTTCTCATTTGTCCTGGGGCTGTTTGGGCTCACAGCATATCCCCAGGCATCAATTACATGATCAGACACATGGCTTAGGGTCACTGTTGGATAGCTGAGGGTGCTGGGGGTTAGGCTCATGGCCACAAAAACCCTTACAAAGGCTTCTAGGCCTCTGAATAAATACTTGGCATGAAAACCCACAGTACTTCAGGAACCAGCTGTTTCTGGAAGAGGGTGATGGCACTGGCACTCAGCTGGTTTGGGCTGGCGCTGGAGGAGGTTTCACCTTGGTGTTGTGCAGCGACAGGGACAGGGAGGTGAGCATTTTCCATGCTTTTTGTTGTAAGGCAAAAAAAGCTGGCATAGAAGCGTGAGCAGGCACATGATGCAGCGGGAGCTGCTCTCCGGAGTGCTCCTGTATCCCGGTATTGCTCTTTCAGGTCACTGCCACAGCTACTCAAGGACAGAACCGCCCTTAATTCCCACATTCCCAACCAAAGGGAGCAGGTGCCTTTATCATCTCCTACAACCATTTTGGAAGAGTCTTGTAGTTCCCTGCCCTCCCTCCCCAAATTAGCTCCCTTGCTCCGTACAGAAGATGGTTTCTTTAGTGATAGTGCACAGCGTGAGGTCCTGGTCCTGAAAACACATTGGCAGGGGCATTGCTTTCTGCGAGTGGTGGATCCTGCTGTCTGTGGTAAAGGAAAATGGGGTGAACACCACTTGTTCAGTCTGGTTTCTGGCCTAGCCATGGATCATGCACTTGATGCAAATAATAGGAGTGGGGTGTATTGCTTCAAATATGTGTGTTATTGCATATAGTGCATATACCTAAACTACACAAATTATATATAAAAATGCAATACTAGATTCATTATGAAACACTGTGACTTCAGGATTTTTTGCTTTCCTTCTGTTTTTTAAACATTATAAGCCATTTATCACCTCTACATCTTCTGCTGGTGGAGAGGCAATGAGCTATGGCAGGTGATCTTAGCAACAAGCTGCTCTCTCTTACGTCTTTCCCTGGCCTTCATTTGAATGAGCTGCATGTTCTTGGGCTCTGTTGCCATCTCCAGCCACACTTCCAGAGCCACGCTGCTGTCCTCTCCCAGGGAAACATGGCAGCTCCGTCCCTGTCCCCACAGCTGCACCTGGAGATGTCTCTCAGAGGATTTGCCTAGTTATTCTAAAGGGGCTTTTTTCTCCTTTACTTCCCAGATAAAATTGTCCGACTTTGGGTTCTGTGCCCAAGTGTCAAAGGAGGTCCCCAGGAGGAAGTCACTGGTTGGGACACCGTACTGGATGGCACCGGAGGTGATATCCCGCCTGCCCTACGGCACTGAGGTGAGCACCGCACGGACCCAGGGCGGTTGTTTTCCCTCCGTATGGTGCCTTGGCCAGCCCCACTGAGCCTGCCAGAGCAGTTCAGCTCTGCTCAACAGCAGCAGTTACATTTGCCCCAGAGTGCTACATCAGCCTTGCTTTAAAGTATTTCTCCAAAACCAAGTTGTTCAATAACAGCTCCATTTAGTGCACTAAACAAAGTAATGCCTTTACAGATCTCAGCTTGGGGTGCTGTATTAAAGGAAACTGGCATCATTTTCACATCATCAAAGACCCTTTGATGATCTTTAGTATTAAGCTGGAGCAGTTACAGGTCTCTACACGTGGATGTGCCAAACCAATAGGCAAATCACATGCCTGTACCACACAGTCAGATCACATCACAGACCTGCAGGCAGAGATCCTCTCTGCTTCCACCCAGCTGCAGCCTTGAAAGCCCCTTCCTCCAGAGAGGTGCTAGCAAAGGCATGGGCTTCCTGTAGGATCCCAAATACAGGAGCCAGACGGGTGGGTTGGATCGCCACCCTCTGTTGCAGCATTACCTTGGCTCATTCCTTGCAGTCATTGCTCTTATTAGTTGAGAGACAGAAGGGAGGAAAAGCCGATCTGTGGGAGCTATTTTAAGCACTGCCAAATGGTCTGACAAAGGCAAGAGTATTGGAGCCCTGCAGGTGAGAGCAGCGAGGAGGGAGCCGGCAGCACTGCAGTGCCGTACCCCATCCGTTAGGAAGCTCTGAGTCACAGCACTCGTGCACTGCCAGCCTGGGAAGAGCAATCCCCAATCCTGTGCTCAGCCGTGACAGTGACTCAGGGCTCCCAGCCAGAGGCACGGCTGCGTTTGCCTCCTCTGCGTGACGAGGGGAGTCATCTGCTCCAGAGTGCCTGTAGTAGCAGCTGCAGAGAGCAAACCTGCCAGGCAAGTACAGACATAGATTTACACACAGGCACACACACATACATACACGTACATATACACACACATATGTACACATACATATACACACATACATACACATACATATACACACACATATGTACACATACACACATACATACACATACATATACACACACATATATACACATACATATACACACACATATGTACACATACATATACACACATACATATACACACATATGTACACATACATATACACACATATATACACATACATATACACACACATACATACACATACATATACACACACATACATACACATACATATACACACATATGTACACATACATACACATACATATACATATACACACACATACATACACATACATATACACACATACATACACATACATATACACACATATGTACACATACATACACATACATATACATATACACACACATACATACACATACATATACACACATACACATACATATACACACATATGTACACATACATACACATACATATACATATACACACACATACATATACACACATACATACACATACATATACACACACATATGTACACATACATACACATATACACACACATACATACACATACATATACACACACATACATACACATACATATACACACATACGTACACATACATATACACACACATATGTACACATACATACACATACATATACATATACACACACATACATACACATACATATACACACACATATATACACATACACACACATATGTACACGTACATATACACACATACACACATACATATACACACATACACATATAGAGGGGGAAGTGAGGCAAGGCCTGAGACAGGAGACGCTGCACTGCTGCTTACCCAGGACATGTGGTGTTGTAGAAGACATTTCAGGGATAATAACTATTATTAGCCCATTAATAGCACTGAAGGGATTAGGAAGTGGCAGAATTTAAGGCTGTGATAGCTTTCCCCACCAGAAAGGAAAGGCAAATAATAAAAGGAGTATTTAAGGTGAAGGGGATAGTGTTGGCAAAAGAGCAAAAGCTGCATGAACTGGCCTTGGCGCTGTTTGGGCTGGCAAATGGCAGGAATTACAGTTATCAGAGGATTGGGATTCTGGAGCAGGATGAAAGCGAAGGAAAAGGTGTGGGGGTTTTTAAGCTGGAGCTGAATCCCTTTCCAAAGGGATTTCATAAGGATTCACCTGTGCTGCCTGGAACCAGGCCTGGGTGTATCAAGTACTTGTGCTTCTCTGGGGCTCTCAAATCCTGTTGCCTTCAGGATGCAAGGGACACAGGGTCACTGATTTCACAGCAGCTGAACTATTCTCTTCTCACCCAGTGGCTGCACCTTTCTGCAGCACTGCAGAGCCACCCTGGGGTACCTACTCAGTGGGTCCAAAGCAGTGCAGCTGGGATGCAGAGCAGCAGGTTACAGCCAGTCTCTCACTGCATACCTTAGCAGTGCTTCCAGTGGGCATCACCTGAACCAGCTCTGTATTCAGGTTTCTAACTTATTTCTTCAATTTATTTACTGCTCAGAAGAGAGAAACTGGTGTCAGCTGGTTTAGAAAGGCAAGATTTATGGTGATGGCTCACCAGGCTGCTGGCTTAGGGTGGTAGGCAGGACAGCATGAGCCAACTCAGAGGGTGGCATGACCCCAAAGCGTGGAGCCTGTAGCCCCCTCTCTGCACTATCAGTGGTGTTTAGGGACGGATGGTGTGTTGCAGGTGGATATCTGGTCCCTGGGCATCATGGTGATAGAGATGATAGATGGTGAACCCCCCTACTTCAACGAGCCGCCGCTGCAGGCCATGCGCCGGATCCGGGATAACTTACCTCCACGGGTGAAGGACATGCACAAGGTCAGACTTCCCATAGGTGTTGAGGTTTAGTGAAACTACACAGTGCACGCCCATTGCATCTGTAAGGTACCACCGTGAGCAGTGGGTCCTACATAGGACTCATTGGGAAGGTGCGAGGCAAAAGCCATCAACAAACCATGGCCACCTATGCCCAGCCCTGGCTTTGCTTTGGCAGTGAGGGACAGTGAAGGGAGCTGGGCAGAGCCTTGTGCTCCCAGTGCTTCCCACCCTGCCTGAAAGTCAGGACACCAGCCCTGCTGCAGATGGGTTGGTACATCCATGCCCAGTGCCAGAGCCTGTGGGTACCTCCCATTTTGGATGTGCTGCTAAAGTCAGACCTGAGCCCTTCAGTGTTAATGCTTCCCTCATGCAAAGCTGTGCGGCGTGCACTGTTCTGCACCCCACTGATGCCCAGATACCACATTAACAGCACACAGAAGACTCGTGGCCCTTCAGCTCGGTCCATCTGTTGCCATAGGAAATTCAGGGTGTCCCTTGTCTTCCCACAAGACCCAGCTTAGGCTGGACATGGCTGTCTTTGCCCACCCTAACTCCAGTGTGGTGTTGCAGGTCTCCTCGGTCCTCCGGGGCTTCTTGGACTCGATGCTGGTGCGGGAGCCCTCGCAAAGAGCCACGGCACAGGAACTGTTGAGACACCCCTTCCTCAAACTGGCTGGGCCCCCTTCGTGCATCGTGCCCCTCATGAGGCAGCACCGGCATCGCTGAAGCAGCGACTTTCCGGGAGGAGCTCGGTGTCTGGCTATCGGCCGCGCAGGAATTCCAGCCGGCAGGAACTGCGGGCAGGGACCAGCGAAACCTTGTGGAGGAAAACCTGCCCCACAGAACCACCATGGTGTAAAACCCCAGGAGCTGCTCCCTGGGGCTGCGAGGGACCGGGGTGGACACGCTCCCCAGCGCTGTTGTCTTCTCGGCCGTCCATGAAGGCAGAAGGCACCAAGCAAGGTTGGGAGGGTGATTGGTGGGGGATAGCACAACCAGAGCGGAACACCTGGGTGTCATTGCAGGCTACGGCACTTCTGTTTGGGAAGAACACTTTTCTGACACAAACAAAAAGCACTTTTTTTCTCTCGGTCATGGCAGCGCAATGTATTTTGCAATGAATTTGTAACTTTCTGTACAGAGCGTTTTGATAACTTGCAGTACTTTGTCACGTACCCTTGTGTTAGTTGAAGTAATGAGTGTAACTTAGCAAGGATTTGAGACGTTTCCTACTTTTATAACCCTTTTGAAAACAGGAACAAAGAAATCCCAAACCCCACCTTTAGGTGGTTGGAAGGTTTTGCAGAGTCTCCATGGGGGTGAGGTGAGCGCTCATCCCACCGTTGAGGAGCCGGTGCTCACTGATGCTCGTGGGAGCACTGGCTGAGTGGCTTTGGGCACTGCCAGCGCTGCTGCTGCACATCAGCCATCGTTGGGGTCTCCCTCCCTGTTCTCCATGGTGGGAGCCCACGGAGCCGATGGACCTTTGCTCCAGGGTGATTTCCTGGCACCGTGGCGGTCCCTTCATTACGCACCACCGCAAGGCCAGTTTTGGTACCACATCATCTGCATTGCTTCTGTCCCGCTCTGGACGTGGGGAGGGATGGCCAGAGCCCGCCCTCCATCCTCCAGAGCCCCGACAGCCCCTTGTGATGCGTGACATTTGCCATATAGAAGAAGTTGTGCTGCTGTCTAGACCTTTTTGAATGTTGATGCAACAGTTGACTACTGCGGTACAGTTTGTGTTCTTTGTTGGATGACTTTGCATGTTAACTGTTAGGCCTGAATAGCTTTGCCTTTAACATTTTTAGAAGTGCTTCATAATTATTTCAATGAGAAATGAGTTTTATTTATTAACAATTCTTTTTAATTCTGTATAATACAAAAGCCATGTTTTGCAAGGGTTTTGGGTTTTTTTCCTCCTTACTGACCTCATTTTGCGGTATCACTAAGAACCACGAAGCCAGTTTTGTGGGAACACAAGCTCGTTTCTTTCTTATTATGGAATTTGGTAGGGAATAAATTAATTGTTATTTATTGCAGTAAATGATAACCAAACAAACAGCTGAACCCGGCAGGAGCTGGTTCTTAAAGACAAAAGAGTTGCCAATAGTAAAGAAGCTCCTTTAGTACTGCCCTTAAAAGGTAAAGAGTATTTGAAGGGAGAGAAATGATTGAGGATTGAGGAGAGGGGATGAATCTGAGCTGGAAATGGAACCCATGTTCTTACATCTGTGTCTTACTCCTCGCTGCTTCCTCTTCTTAACCCTGTTTGCACATTGGAAAAAGACACTAAAGAAACCACGTTTGGCTCCTGCTCCCCGCACCCAGCACCCACCACAAAGCAGCACCCACCACAGAGCAGCACCCACCACAGAGCAGCACCCACCACGCTCCGGGTGTTTCTGTTTCGTAGTCTTGACAACTCAGGAAAAGAGGCTGCAGCAGGCAGGGCAGTGCCGTGCTCGAGCAGAGCCACTGAGGTCAGCTTTTTTAACCATCTTTGAATACAACGGGGTGGGGGGGGGGTTCTTCAGTATTCAGCACATTTTAGGCTGTGCAAGGGAAGAATTTTCTGCAACTTTCTTACCATGAGGTACTTTCAGCGGTGTCCCTGGAGTTTACTGGGAGTTTTGTTGATTTCAAAGGGGTTTTTTGGGAACACCAGTGACTGGTGAGACAAATGCACACGCAAGTTCAATAAATGAATGAATAAAGCCTTCATTTGCAGTGTGGGGTTTTTTTCCCTCCCGTGCCTTGCTGCTGGCTGCTCGATTTGACTCAGTCACACAGTACTGGATCAAGTAAGTAAGAAGAAACCGAGAGGGTTTGTGTCTGTATATGGGATATACACACACACACACACATATATGTAAGTATATATGTAGTGATTTATAGAGTTGCCTCAGTGATGTTGAAGTGGCAGTGGTCATGTCTGCATTGGAAGAGTCACTCGTGCCCCCTTGGTGCTCGTCCTTTCCTCCTGGGTGGGGAGTTGCTGAGACAATCCAGCCTCAGTGTTGGTCACAGGGGCTGAGCTCCAGAACCGTGAGGGCTTGGGGTTGGGAAAGCCGCTGGATCTGAAACGGAGCCTGTGCCCATCTGCCAGCCATGGGAAGCTGATGGTCAGGAGTCAGGGGCTGTATGGGTGCAAGAATATGGGTTGGTTTGTGCTTCTTGTTTGTGTGTGTTAGCTGAAGGTGTTTGAGAGTGAAGTGCTGCCATCCAGATAAAATATTCCAAATTAAGAAGGCAGGAATGAGGCCTTGAATAGAGAAATCTCAGTGTCAGTAACTGATGGCACACTCACTGCATACAGAATTAGAGAATAGTTAGGGCTGGAAAGGACCTTGAGATCATCCAGTTCATGGCATGCCATGGGCAGGGACACCTCACACTAAACCATCTCACCCAAGGCTCTGTCCAGCCTGGCCCTGAACACCACCAGGGATGGAGCATTCACAACTTCCCTGGGCAACCCATTCCAGTGCCTCACCACCCTCACAGGAAAGAATTTCCTCCTTATATCCAATCTAAACTTCCCCTGTTTAAGTTTTAACCCGTTACCCCTTGTCCTGTCACTCCAGTCCCTAATGAAGAGTCCCTCCCCAGCATCCCCATAGGCCCCCTTCAGATACTGGAAGGCTGCTATGAGGTCTCCACGCAGCCTTCTCTTCTCCAGGCTGAACAGCTCCAACTTCCTCAGCCTGTCTTCATACAGGAGGTGCTCCAGTCCCCTGATCATCCTTGTGGCCTCCTCTGGACTTGTTCCAACAGTTCCATGTCCTTTTTATGTTGAGGACACCAGAACTGCACACAATGCTCCAGGTGAGGTCTCTTGATGATCTTAAGGTCCTTTCCAGCCCAAACCATCCTGTGATTCTATGATAGAGCCCTTCAAGAGCCCCCAGCCACACACACAGGCATACACACACTCCTACATTAGAAAAACCCCATCGTGGTCAGTCATACAGTACAGACAACCTCGAGCTGCGACTGATGCACCCATACAGCTCTGTACGTGATTGACTGATGTACTCCACAAAGACCAAACCTGCTGAAACATTCCCACCTTCCCTAAATAATCCCCTTCCTTTCTTTTTGCCTCACCATTCAGCTCTCGTGCCAGCCGAGCCCATTCCTCCCAGGCTCCCCCATAGCATCAGGCAGGTAATGAATTTACTCAGTTACTCTCATGAGCATCTTCAAGTCTTATAAATGAGGTTCTGTATTCATTTTGGCTGCTGACATCAGTAAATGTTCCAAAGTACATCAGTTATCACTCAAAAACCTCCCTAGAAATGCTCAACTTCGGCTGTTTCACCCACAGCCCTTCAAATAAAGCCAGGAATAACCACGGCCTGTTCCCTTGGGCTGCACCCTCTGCAAAATTCCTCCTTGGGTAACCTCTGTAGCATCTTCCCAGGTCTTGTCCACGGCTCCGGAGTCCTTATCCTGGCCCCTGTGGTGTCCACACTGCAGAAGGTGTTTCCTCCATCACTGTCACCTTGCGGGCTGCAAACCTTACCCTGGCTGGGTGTCTCAGCAGGAAAATACACCCCATAGTTGTAGGGTTTTAGATGGCAGAGTTGGGAGGACCCATTCACCCAGAAGACATCACCTGCTGCAAGGGCAGGGGCCAAGCTAAATGTGCGTCCAGTCACTCCAAGGCATTTATTCCTGCCTGTCACTAAGGAATGGTGCCTTTTCCTGAGGTCACCTGTTAGAACAGTATCCATACCCATTAGAACAGTATCCATACCCATTAGAACAGTATCCATACCCATTAGAGCAGTATCCATACCCGTTAGAACAGTATCCATACCCATTAGAACAGTATCCATACCCGTTAGAACAGTATCCATACCCATTAGAACAGTATCCATACCCATTAGAACAGTATCCATATCCATTAGAACAGTATCCATATCCATTAGAGCAGTATCCATACCCGTTAGAACAGTATCCATACCCATTAGAACAGTATCCATACCCATTAGAACAGTATCCATACCCCTTAGAACAGTATCCATACCCGTTAGAACAGTATCCATACCCCTTAGAACAGTATCCATACCCGTTAGAACAGTATCCATACCCCTTAGAACAGTATCCATACCCATTAGAACAGTATCTATACCCATTAGAACAGTATCCATACCCATTAGAACAGTATCCATACCCATTAGAACAATGGCCATATCCTGGCAGCAGAGGCTGAGGGACTGGCGACACAACTCCTTGGCAATACATCAATAATTGATAACTGAGGTTCTAACCATAAGGACTGTGTAAGTCATTAGCAGCTGCTTCAGGAAGTGCTTAATTGTTACAGGCCCTGATAGGACTCAGTGATAAGTTTCTTGTATTTATCCACCTTCTACTGATGTGCTCATAAACACCTACAAAGCAAAGAGCTCCAGCCTGCAGCCTGCTCATAGTGCCTCATCGATGAATAGAAGGTAAACACAAACTGACAATGGACATTAAATTAAATGGAAGTGCTGCCATCCTTAACCTGCAGCTGGAGTTTGATGGGAAGGAGGGAAGTCGAACGGGGGCTTTCTCTTCCCAATAGTTTCTCAAAAGTAGGGTTGGAAAGCTTAAATTGCTGGAAAACTCAGCTCAAATCCAGTAAAGAATGGTTAGCAAAAGCATGGGAAGTATTAGAAGATTCAAGGGGATTCTTTCAACATCTTGAATAACTTCTTTAGACAAGATACATCAGTCTGGGGCTCAATGCAAACTGACACTGAGCTGAAATCACAGTTCCTTTTTCCTTTCTTCCCCCCAGAAAAAGAGGAAAAGCCTTTCAGTCCAACAAGAAATTACTTCCTATGTTAATTCAGAAACCCAATACATTCACTACTACCACACAACTCTGCTCCCAACAGCTCACACACATTTGGTCCCTGAAGGTGAAGCCGAGCGCGACCTCAGGGGTGTGAACAACACCCAAAGGTCTGAAGGTGAATGGGTGTAGAGCTACAAGAGCTGTTGGGGTTGTCCTCTTGTCAGAGGGCCAGTGCCGCTGCTTCAGTGCACTGACCAGTGCTTGAGCAATGGGAGCAGTCAAGGACAGCTTCCTATGAGCAGTGTGGACTGGGTTTTCCTTGGCTGCCCAGACAGGGTCACTGCAGGTTGAACTGAAATTTACCTGCAAAGTGAACCATAAATCAGCATTTTTCCATCTCAAATATGTGTAGATGACTGAGAGCATCTCCCCATTACAACAGGCACCTCTTGCTCTCTGTCTGCAAACACGGAAGCCACAACATGACCTACAAGGGGCTAAAACCCACCAGCAGCTTTACTTGAACAACAGACTCCCAACTGCTCCAAAACCCAGCCTGGAGATAACATTCAGCCAGCAGCTTCATCCACCTGCTAAGACCAACATTAAGGCAGCTAAGCCAAGCCTCAGGTTCTGCTGCCTCCAAACAGCCCCATGTAAACCCGGAAGCTACAGTTCATTCACAAGTCGCCCCTCAAAGTGCTGCATGGGTGCAGAGCAATGGGTTTCCCACCTCCCACTCTGGTTTTGGTTTGAGAAGCATCTGTCAACCCCTCACTGGTTATAGATGATCTTTCCTGCATCCAAACCCACCCTGCAAAGCAAGTATGATTGCTGTGGGGTATCAGAAGCTGCAGTGCAAATGGATTGGCACCGAGCATTGTGCAAGGAGCCATCGCACAAGGGAAAGCAGGAGGCCAAAAGGAAGGCTGTATAGCTTGGAACAGTTGGTGTTTCCCCTGCCTCTGCACTGGCCCCAGTGCAAGGCGGGATGCACCCTGGGGTCATGGAAAGCAGCAGAGACAAGTTTACTGCCGGTACCATCACCCCTTCATTGGGTTAA